TTATTATTATTATTATTATTATTATTATTATTATTTAAAGTGACTAAGTTGAAAAATAATTACTATCTTTTGTTAAATACAATATTGGCTATAAATTTTTGTAGGTTTGCATTGTACATTTACGTGCCTGTACCCAAAACGATGACTTTTTCCATCTGCATTGGACATGGCCAACATATACAGTCGTGCAATCTGAGCAGACTATATTCAGTTGGCTTCTCATTTTTGTAGTGGTCGGGAACGGCAGGCAGGCAAAGTTACATTGTCGGGAAGAAGAGATGATACGACGTCATTTCCTTTGTTTTGTTATTTTTTGCGTTCATAATCATTATCATTTTAGACCCAACGCAAAGTAGTTGCATCATTATTCACTGACTTTACAATACTAAAATACCTTAAATTCACATTATGCCTCAGAAATAAATATATTTTTGTCCATCTTTAAAAAGAGCAAAGATGCAGTTAACAGAGTAGTATTTTGACTTCCATACAAAATAACAAAATCACTATAACAAGTTAATTAACGAAAACAACAGATGCTAAAGATGTTTTAGGTACATGGCCAATGAGTGTAACAGGAAACCCAAAAAAAGCTTTTGAGAAACAAGTTTAAAAGAATTTCTTGTGCATAATGGGCCGTTAAACCTTGAATGCTGCTTCTGTTCAAAAACAGGGCAAATACAACATAATGAAAATGTTAGAACAATTGTCTTTAAAGGGACTGGTTTGATGTCACTGGCGTACAGACTGGTTTGTCCCTATTTTTGTGACACTAACATGCTGAGGTTATTCATCTCAAGCGTTCTCTTACAATTTCAGTTTCGAAACGTTTTAGATAGCCACTTTAATTAAGGCTGCCACAATTCATCGATGGAACCTCTAAACTTAACAATCTTTGTAAAGCGTTTATAAATTTTTTTCTTCTGTATTTTGTCGGTCAAAAGCTATACATAGCTTATGTTTTGTAAAATGTTATATATGTATACCGACAATAAATAAATTTTGATTTGATTTGATTTGTCATGAAAGCTGATAAGCCAATTTCAAAATATTCAGATATTTTGTTCTATTATTAAATCGATTACTCATCGTGTTCAACGAGAAATTAGTTTATATTAAAAAACGATTGTCAAGGAAACATAGAACTAGCTGCATAAACACCACTGACTGATATTTGAGTTTTGAACAGTCTATAAATTTGTGAGTGCAATCTTATAGTTGGGGTTAGTCTCTGTTATGCTCATTTTGCACATACTTGAGTTTAAACGTTTTACTGGTGGTTTTAGAGCAGGTAAAATGGTTTCCACTTGAAACAATAGTGCTAAATGATGTCAAAATATTTGTCATAAAAGTAGCAAAACCTCCCCAAAGTTGACTGTATAACGTCCTTGCATTAAAGAAATCTAAAGTTCATAATAGGACCTGAACCCAAAAAAGAATAAAGTCAACAACTATTGTCTAATCGGTTGTTGTTGAGAAGTATTGCTCTTTTTACAAGCTTACAAACTGTATCACAATAGCAACGTTCAGAGGACATATCATCAACGCAAGATTTATATAGCGTTTCACTAACGTAACGTTCATAGAACCTTTAAACAAAACACCATCTGCAAAACTTCTCACCATAGTGACAATCTTATTTAGCAGCGTCCTCATTACCTATCACCAAAGCAACGTCCACAAACCTTATTACCATAGCAACGTTGCAAGACCTTATCTCCGTTTATCAAAGTAACGTTCTACCATCAAATTGTGTACTGTTATCTAGGAGCTGTAATGTTCGGAAACACGGTCTGTTAATGTCATATAACTTGTCTTGTCACGTATAAATGAATTCAAGTGAAGGCGACTGTTGACTTCTTTAATGTCGATTATGTCGACAAAAACAATCTAGCTATATATTTTATTTTCCTTAGCTTGTATCAAAGCTGTGGAGAATCTTAAAATTGAAATCATTAACAACAAAACAAACAAGCAATATAAATAAATCAATATTTATTTAATTTTTCAATTTTTGGAGCATCACAATATTTCAGGACGACTAACAAAAATATCAAAAGGTTGTTTCACAACAACACGGGAACTAGGAATGTTATACAGAGGCAGACTTGAAACGTCAGTAAGCCTCAACAAGTATTATTTATTAAAAATATTGAAAAAAGGTAGTAATAAATTATTAGAAATATACAAGAGTTTTTTTAAAAAATGTGCTATCTTTAATTGGTCTGATCAATTTAACCGTTGTCAATCATAACAGATTTTACAACATAATTTGTGAAAAAAGATTTATGTTAATATAGTGGAGATCATAATTTAGTTATCTTTTCTTGTTAAACATTTTATAATACAGGACACAGTATAACAATATGACATACACAGCAAATTCAGAAACAAATAACCCCCGTAAAACAAAACGGAAGGAGTTAAATTTATGTGTGCCAAGTCTTTTATGCACACAAATAAAGTACAAAAAACTGTACACTATATAAACCAAAATATCGGCTTTCTGAGACGTTTTCGTAACTTCTGGAATGTCGGTTAAATCTTTTACCTTCCTTTAGCTCATATCTAAAACATATGTAATCACAGATATTTAGAAATCCCTAGTAACCTAGTAAAATATTAAATTATGATTCTTTTGAAATTCAAACATTATTCTGTTTGCATAGCCTTTCAACAAAAACATGACTGTCTGGACAGCTACTTTATACTTCCTTCTCCTTGAAAAAAGATTTAGTATTTATTAATGCCTGGCAGTCTTTATTACACGGTTCCCACTCATTCCTAAATATGCATTGTTCAATATAATGCAATTTAAACTGTCTTTCTTCTGCTACGCTTTCATTTACACAATTAAATGAAAAATATAGTATAAACAAGATAATCTTTTATTCGATGTTTGTTTGGTAAATATATATCACTTTAAACCAAGGATGAAAAGAAGGTAAACTTTCTTATGGAAAATAGTTTCTTACATCCTTATATCATATTGTTTTACCCTTATTTGATCTTCGTAGAAATCAAAATGTCTACTGTTTCAACGTTTAAAAACATATTAGGGTTAATAGTTGACACTTTAAGGAAATGTTCACATTTTACTCAATCATTTACACTGTAATAAAAATATGATATGTTTCAAGGTATAAACGTCTTCTTTATTCACCTCTACGCCACTACGCCTCACTGTCCGTCTTTTTTCGCACCCTGCAAATAATCAAAATTACCTATTATACCAAAACCAAAATAAACCTTAACATCATAATTTTGCAGGTCAAATGTCTTAATATTAGTCACTAGAATACTTTGTAAAGTCTTAGCAATATTTACCTTTATTTTCTAATATTTTGTTTTGATACTTTTCTATCGAACCAACATATCGACACCAAGTTACCGTGTCAACATCATGCGAAAATGTCAATGAAGGAAGGTCAAAATGTCTTTGCAACTTCAACTGATTTTCAATTGTAAACTTAAGTTAAAAGTTATTTAAACAAGAGCATTTTTTCTAAAAGTTTGCATGATAAAGAAAAAGATAAATGGAGCAAATTAGGGGACACTGTCCTAAAGTGAGAAGTGCCACTCATATTAAATAAGCGCGGACATGACCAGGGACAAGTTTTTTTTCGGAAAGGTTATGTTCATGTTTTCGTAAGGGTTCAGTGAATAGTTTATTCATATTATTTGTGAGTTCTAATCACAAACTAGAAATTTGTCCATAGGACACGGGTGCTCCCCCCCCCAACCAATCCACTGTTTTGTCAATCTTATGACTCTAAGACATTTTTTTTTGAGGGGGGGGGGCTACATGTGCCACAAGGTGAAAACTAAAATAGAATTACTAAGTAAAGGGCAAGACCTTTACAAATACTGAATAAATCCACAAGCAAACCACAAGGTGCATAAGTACACGTACAGACCAACATACTTGTAAACTGTCAGGTTTACATGTCTAATACATTTTGAGCTATCGTGCACAAGTTGAAAATTGCAAATTTTTACCAGTTCATGGGCAATAACTCTAACAAAACTGAAAATAATCCACAAGCAAATTCACAGGTGCATAGCTTCACAATGATGATGATCATTATTCCTGTAAAGTTGGTTGAATCTATCTGAACACATAACACAACATAATTGAACGGTTTTTACTAAGTCAAGGACAATAACTCTGACAAAACAGAATAAATCCACAAACGAAACCCTAAGTGCACAATTACACATGCTGACCAACATTCCTGTTAAGTTTCATGACTCTAGATACTTTTTGAGATACGTGCGACACAAGTTTAAAATTGCAAATTTTTACTAAGTCAAGAGCAATAACTCAACAAATACTAAATATTGATCATATGTCAAATACTTTTTGAGCTACGTTCGAAACAATATGAAAAAGGACGGACGGACGGATGGACGGACACGGACAGACAAGGGTAAATCTTTTCCCCCTTAAGTGGGGGCACAAAAAAATGAACAAATGTATATAAATATACGAAGTCAATGATAAATATTATTCAAAATGAACTTTTTGCTCATACAAATTAGAAAATATTCAAAAATGATACAAAAGATAAATACATAAATAAACCTACTCAGCTACCTGATCTTTTTGAGGCTTTGGGTTAGGTGGCGTACTCTGTTCCTTCATACCTTCATATCTATCACGTGATAGACGTAATGGTTGGACCATCGTCTCATCTATCTGTGGGAATAGCTGTAACATAGATGGTTTGTTTTATTTTAAAAAATGTTTAAAGAGATTACTAGCGGACAATGAACAATACAATTGATTATTATACCTAATTCAAAATTACTGGAGAGCGGTATCAACAGTTAACGCATTGTATAGCAATCGATGTATCTTAACTCATTTGAAATGAAAGGGTCTTTCAACTATGTGTATAACATTTAGACTATGTTCAGTTTAGTCTCTGTACAGAGTAATTACAACAACTTTATTATTCATATCCAAAAGTAAAGATTTCCACTACATTTTCTCCACAGCAACACCTCTAAGCAACAGCCAATATATTTGTCCATCAAATGGCGTTACTCTTCAGAGGTTACACTGTAACTTGTCCAATCACTTTACAATTAATCAAGATAGTGGCTATTTCATATATTCATTAAAAACAGAAGCATATATTCATTACAAATAGAAGAGATTGTAATAAGGTTCAACAAGCTTTTATTTATTCTTCCTTTTATACGTGATATGTTTGTAAACAAAACGTCAGCGAAGATGACTGGAGTCACACGTTGACAAAGCAATAAATCCATATCTTGCAACAACGCTCGTATACAAAAACAAGCATTCTATTCCCTTTTTATGATACCCTGTAGACAAATTAAAGCAATTTTATAACATGTGAACACACATTTTTGTTATACCTTTGATACTGTTTCAAACATTGGAATGAGAACAAATTTGATAAATCCGATCTGAGCCGTTGGTTTGGTCACTTTATCTCTATCCATGAAAGGTGCTACTGGTAAACCTTCCATCTTTTCCCTGTCAGACTGGAAAAAGGCATACATTGTTAATCATAAATATCACTTAAAACTTCTTTAAATTCTTCAAAGCAGGAGGTCAGTAGATTCGCCTTTTGCCAATGGTTTGTATAAAACTGGAATCTTAGTACTCGATTTAACTCTTGAAGTCACTATACTATTTCATTATGTGTTTGTTTACAGAATTAATATATGGTTAATCAAACTGTTATTTTTGATTAACTATACATCAATGTGGTTGCATGCATAATAAATTGTTATAAAATAATCTTTTCAATAATTGTTATTAGCTGATTGAGTACAGTGTGTTTGTTTCCACAAAAAATCAACACTTCACTTACGAAGGTTAATTTTGCTACAGCCAGTTTAATGAAGGATATAATAGATTATATTCTTGTTCTTTTTTACCCTTTTGATTCACCTTTGTAGTGTACAAGTCATTGCTCAACATTATGTCCTATCCGCTTTTTAAGCATAGATACCCACCTGATTGAAGTATTCCTCTAAAAGGCAGTCAACCCAAGGTTCTGACACCTCCATTGGACGCACTTCGTTTGATATATCACAACATTTGATTAAAACCATCTTCAGCTGTAAAATACGAAATATATGTATTATTGATCATTAAGACACACCTTGTAACAGTATAAAGAAAACTGACAACTGAATCGCTACCTCTGTATAAATTAAGTTTCAATAATAGCAAGGGAAACCAATTAAAATATACACTTTCGGTTGATATATGTAAAACACGACAAATAGATCTAATCACATGACAATTATTTTCTTAACCTCAATTTCTATTTTTTGTTGGCAAACATGACATCTTTAGGTGACATCTTTAGGTTAGGCATGTAAATGAGTAAGGTAATATAATATATAATTAACATATGATAATAAGAACAATGCCGAAGAAGTTTTCAACTCCGAGAATACATCAACAGTATATTCTACAGAACACTAAATTGTGTGTGTATAAAACAAATCATTAACACTGTTATTTAAAGGTACAATTCAATTTGCTAATGATATCAGTAATGATATAAGGGCTGAAGATACATATTCCTTTAATAAATTTTCTTCTCAGTACATTTATCACATCACATTCAAGTATTTAATGGTATTTATCTCCAATATTTTAATTATACAATGCACATATTCTTTCGTTGTATGGGACTCCGCTCCGACTTCATCCATATAACATGTATACACATTTTCAGATCACTCTCTTACCCCGGTATTCCTGAATAATCATTTTTCTCGTGTAACCCAAAATGAAAAGCGTTGCTCAAAACGAAATAAGAATCGCACAAAAAATGATATTCAAATAATTCTGTGTATATTTCATTTCTTATTTATACTTTGCATGTTATTCTATTTTTTAGTCTTTTACTTGATCTATCTTAAATAAATTCAAAATTTATGTCCTCAGTTGAGCTCCTTTCATATAACTGATATTATTTTTAATGCTTTGTTTTTCATTGGAATATTTGGTGAAATATTCTTGGAGAATAAACACGTCTGGCAGTGTGCGACATGGCAACCAAAGTGTGTGCTTGTGATGACATAACTTTAGA